TCAGTATTGTGATATGAATTAACCAAAACCAAACAAGTAACTAAAAATGGAGTTGTCGTCTACCAAATTAAAGCTTAATACACATGTGTTGCTACCAAGTTTAGATATCAATGCTAATCTGAATCATTATGAAGAGAATTTGGAAGAATGCCAAGCTTACAGGAAGTCATGAAATGTAAGGTTTGAATAATTCTGGGCATTACTTGCAAAAAAATAATACTAATCACAATTCAGTTGTGACATTAAACTACTAGGCTCTTATAAGCAATGGGATATAGGCTTTGTAGAAAATAATTTATGAAAACCAAAACTTCACATCATTCCATATTTTGTGCTGGCCAATAACTTGTTTCAATACTGGCAAGTAAAATACATTTAAATTGGACATCTTAAGCATTACACCCCAAAATGATCCTTAAACTGTGATAAGATATCCTTTGTTTTCACGAAATTGCCTGGAGAGTCAATCCTTGACCGGTATAGTTCAATCGAGATGCCCATACTTACTTTTGTCGTTCTGTATGCCTCCACGAATTCTCAACAGTACAAGGAGAATGCAGCTACAATACAACTTATTTCACTTTGTGGCACCTTCAGGTGGCATCAGACACTTTCAAACACTTTCAAACACTCTCAGACACTCAGTGGTGCAACTCACACCGATAGATCAAACCGATAGTTGTTGGCTTGCGAGAGTGCAATGACTCCTTTCAGTGTAGTAAAACTCGTACCGAAAATTCAAACAATAAAATGTTGTCTTTTAACAGCGTTAAAGCTCTTGCAGAAGCTGCAATTATAAAAAAGCCGGGTCTGGGTGTGTCGGTTTGTGACAGGAACACTAACTCGTGATACGGTCACCAGAAAAAGATTACTCGAGACTGCGCTCGCAACCAAGATGGCTGACTCAGACTAGTGCGTGGTACAAAACTAGACCCCGTGACAGGCGTTTGACTCTCATGGACAAATAGATAAATAAAAAAATCAGATCGTGTCATACTGTGGCTACACAGTTTATGTAAGCCACACAAAAACAATATTGAAAATAAATAGAGGACTGGCTGTCTGGAATAACCATGGGGGTAGCGGAGCCAGGCAGCCAAATCATAGCTACGCCTTAGCTACTAACACTCCAAAGACATTGTGTATTTTTCTTTACTCTTCTCTGCGAGCATTGATATCGCTTTACAGAAAATAAAGCACTATAAATAATATCAGTGATACAGGTGAAGGCAATAAGTCTTGCATAACCACTTTCAATATGCGTACCTTGACAACCATAAAGTTCTACTCTCAACCCTATTCCGTTCTCATTCCAGGTAAGAGGTCGAAAGCGGATATAACGAGCAGCGATTGGAACGGAAAGGTGGTGAGAAACAACAGTATTTCGATCCGAGTTTCCAGCAAATTCCTAAAACAGACAAGATATCAATTATTTACAAATGTAATGCTTAAACTTTATTGGAAAATAGTGAGTTAGAAAATGATACAGCGTTATATTAGGGCAAGACCTTTCGCAGTTTGAATAGGCATTAATGGTGGCACGAGTCAGCGGAAAGATGACGGACGTTGCTCATGCTCATGAAGACTGAGCAACAAACACTCAGAAAAAAAAGTCAATTTCAAACAAGAAGCAAAATCCAAACTTGTGGCGAGAAATGGAATCTAAAAAAAGTTATAAAGGTGCAGCCAGTGAAGCATCAATGTCAGTCGTTCCAAGAACTATGAATCAGTCTTTATTACTTGCATTCAGTTGAATAGTTAATTCGAAAAAATTTCTTGGAAACTATGCGCTGAGAAAGTTTCTTTCTTAGCCTACTTTATCAACTGCATTTCCTTGCTCCTTGTAGTACTCAAAATTCACTCCGTCGTCACCATACTGTAGCTTGTAACTGGTAACCCACTGAGGATAATTCGCCCTCCCTTGTGTTGCCACTTGTGTAACTTTAGTGGAATAGTTGAACAGATCAATCTCGAACCACTGGTTGGTATCATGTACATCAGCTATCCATCCCCCTGTGTTATAATCATCTCCTTCAAAATTCAGCCTCCCGTTCCTGGGTCCATGCGTGCTATTAAATTTCGTGGAGGCTGAAAGTTGCCAATTTCGTATCGTGTAGGCCTCCATGCCCAGCGGATCGTTGCAAGCTACAGGATGTTTAGAAGGAGAAAGTAAAGTTACAAAAAGATTAATTTGACCACGGACGTCTACATGTACTGGATGTTAATGATACTTACAGTGTCATTTTTTCATTGAGTGAAAAATGATAAACCACAAGATCAAGAAAATTAAAGTCAAAGGCTGCAACACCGACTTGACTTCTTCCGCTCAGCTGAGTTCCAACTTTCATCAGTAATTTTTTTTTTAGGAAAAGCGCACTAGCTTGAAGAACCAACAGGTTCTTGCGCTTTATAAAATGTCTTTTCTATAATTACATCAATCTCACATAAAGAATCAATACTAGTTTCATTTTGGTTACTATGTTGGAAATAAAATGCACCTTAGAAAGAACAATCTGATTGGTGTCCTCACCTTTTTTACAATTTTCTCCGGTGTAGGCACCGTGACACTCGCATAGGTAGCTATTATCAGCCTTTTCGACACAGGATCCTCCATTTCTACATGGATTACTAGTGCATGGGTGAACTGAAAAATAAATTATATTCAGTCCACGATGTTCTGTTTTTTTCACCTTTTTTTTTCTAAGTTTAAAAAATTTACTCAGTCTCCCACAAAATTGTTTCATTATTATTAAGGAAGTCTCCGTCTCTACCAGCAAAGTTATAATGCTTTACTGTTTTCCTTATGATCAGATTTTGATATTATAAAGAAGACCGCAGTACGTACGGTGTGTTAATGTTAATGCAAAGCTTTTGCTTGCGTTGTGTGCAATGATAATTGAAATTGTCTTCTGTTATTTTTGTTTCGTTTTTGTTTTAATTCTAATTTACTTCTAAAGAATATGATATCTCCTGATGAACAATTCCCATTAAGAAAGCTTCAAGGCGTAATTCATATAATCAAATTGCCTTCAGGTTGATTCTTGTTCTCAAATCTTCTCAAAATCTCAAGAGCCCGCTTTTGCTATCTTCTCTCTTTTTGAGGAATGTCTTAAAAGAGATCAAAAGCTCGACTCACGTCACGATAGTATGCTCATGACATCCATGCTATTAATATTTACAAAAGTTTCTCGAATAAAATAAAAATTTGGCAAGAAATATTTATAATCTTTGCGAAATCTCTTGAGAAATAGTAGCTTAGTTTCACTCCTCCGTTGTATTTTTATTAAGAGATGATAAGGGAAAAGAGTTCAAAATTTACTTTCCTTTGAACTTGGAACAATAACTGAGATATAGAAACCAAAATTGATAAGTGAGTCATTTTACTACTGGATTGATGAATCCATCGAAAAAGAGGTTTGTTCGAAATTATCCACCTATTAGATCCTATAAGATAAATTCAATTTCACACCTTGAGTTTCCTATTCGACTGATTATTGTTTTCTTCCTTGAGTCACCAGTGAAAAAATGAATCGAATCGAGCCTCGCAGCAAGAGTGCTACTAATTGATCGTTCAAAGACCCTTTTCTTGGATTTTTTCGGCCCTTTAGGTGTTGATTGGACTCAGAGGCCCTGGCAAGGGATCTTATTATGATTAGTATCATTTAAGGGCCCCTCCAGGGATTTTGTTGCTAATTTGCCCTTTCGGGCTCCAAAGGCCTTGTTTTGGGATTTTGTTACGTACGGTTTACAGTTGTAGTAAAAAGTGGGCCTTCCCTTTTTTAATGCTCGCCGCATTGCTTCTTTGCAATTGATTACGCCACTCATATTAACATATTTAGTATTCTTATCTCTTAGTTTTTAGGGTTTGTTCCTTGTATTTTTTCCATTGCTTTCTTTGTAATTAGGTTTTTTGTTTATTAGCACCAGTTCATTAGTCGTTATCTGTAATTACGTAATCATTAGCACTTCGATCCTATTTAATGCTCTTTTTTT